ATGGGTTTCATGGTGGTTGGGGTAATGGTTGCATGAAAATTATGAGGGGTAATCTGCTATGTTTTAAGGCCATGAGAATGCAAAATATGTATGTATGTCATTCTGAATCATCTGCTTCTGTGAATGCTGTCCAAAGTGATCATTCTATTCTGTGGCATAATAGACTAGGTCATATTAGTAATAAAGGCCTCAGCATTCTGCATAACAATCACTATTTTGGCAATGATAGAGTGTCTGAGGTTACTATGTGTGATTCTTGCATCGTTGGAAAGCAAACTCGTGTTTCTTTCCAACCAACCCCTTCCCCCAATCCCTCTAAATGTTCTGATATTCTTGAAGATGTGCATGCTGATGTGTGGGGTCCTGCCAGTGTTCCGACACATGGTGGGAACCGTTACTTTCTGTCCATAATTGATGATTTCTCTCGTAAGGTGTTTATCTTCCTGTTAAAACAAAAATCTGATGTTGTTGATAAGTTCAAAACATAGAAAGTTTATATTGAAAACCAAACAGGAAAACGGATAAAAACCCTTAGGACAGATAACGGTACAGAATTTTGTAATCAAGAAATGGATGCTATGTGCTCTGAATCTGGTATTAAAAGGCACAAAACTGTTCCTTACTCCCCTCAGCAAAACGGGGTGGTTGAAAATATGAATCGAACTCTTTTAGAGAGGGTTCGAGCCATGCTCGCCACTTCGGGTTTACCAACCATGTTTTGGGGTGAGGCTGTTTTGACTGCCACCTATTTGATTAATAGATTTCCCTCTGTGCCTTTAAATGGTGATTTGCCTGAATGTGTTTGGTCGGGTAAAAAGGTTGATTTGTCCAACTTACGTGTTTTTGGTTGTGCTGCATTCATGCATCATAAAAGTGATAAGCTTGAACCCCGTTCTGTGAAATGTGTTTTCTTGGGTTATCCTGAAGGGGTTAAAGGTTATAGACTTTGGGTCAAAGGGGAACATGGCTATAAAACTACCATTAGTCGTGATGTGATTTTTAATGAATCTGTTTTTCCTTATCTCGTTGTGCATAATACTGTGAATTCAGAGGCTGCTCCAAATGAGGTGGAGTTGCCTACTGTTAAATCTGAAAATCTGCCTGATATTGAATCTGAAATACTTGAAAGTTTGCATGACCAAAATGTTGAACATGACTTGCCTAATATGGATAACTTGTCTGATTATCAACTTGCTAGAGATCGACCTAGACGTGAAAATGCTAGGCCTCCACAACGTTTTGATAGCTTTCATCTTGCTTCTCATGTTTTCAACGTGTTTGAATCTATAGATAGCAATGAACCTAAAACTGTTAGGGATGCTCTAAAATCTGATAAATCAGCTGAATGGTTAATTGCTATGAAAGAAGAAATGAACTCTTTGCATGTTAATCAAACTTGGACTCTTGTTCCTAAACCTGCTAATTGCTCTTTGGTAGACTGCAAATGGTTGTTTAAAGTTAAGGATGAGGTAGACTCCATTAGGTATAAGGCTCGTCTTGTTGCTAAAGGTTTCACGCAAAAGGAAGGTATAGATTATACTGAAATTTTTGCCCCCGTTGTTAAATTTACCACTGTTCGTATTATGCTTGCATTAGTTGCGCATTTTAATTGGGAATTGAAACAAATGGATGTAAAAACTGCTTTCTTGCATGGTGAGTTAGATGAGCATATTTACATGAAACAGCCCGAGGGCTTCGTAGATGCTAAAAGGCCTGAATATGTGTGTTTGCTGAAAAAATCTTTATATGGCTTGAAACAATCACCTAGGCAATGGAATAAGAAATTCGATTCTTGCATGCTTTCATTGAAGTTTAAGAAAAGTGATTATGACCCTTGTCTTTACTTCAAAGATACTCGCTCTGTGCCTATTTTCTTGTTGATCTATGTTGATGATATGCTCATAATCAGCCCTTGTGTGAAATCTGTTGATCATGTGAAAATGTGTCTAAGTGAACAATTTGACATGAAATACTTGGGAGATGCTAAGAAAATTTTGGGCATGAATATTGATCGAAATCGTGATAATAATCTGCTGTTCTTGAATCAAATTTCTTATGTGAAAAAGATATTAGAAAAATTTGCCATGACTAATGCTAAAACCACAAACGTGCCTTTAGCTGCCCATTTCCAGTTAAGTAAGGATCAGTCCCCCAAGACTGAAACTGAAATTGACTCTGTGCAAAATATCCCTTATGCCAATGCGATAGGTTCTGTGATGTACTTGATGGTAAGCACTCGTCCTGATATAGCTTATGCGGTAAGTTGTTTGAGTCGTTATATGTCGAATCCAGGTATGCCGCATTGGGAAGCTTTGAAATGGCTTCTTCGTTATTTGAAACACTCTTTGCATATTGGCCTAAATTTTTCTAAGTCTGAAACTGAAATTGAATTAATTGGCTATGTTGACTCCAACTTTGCGAATGATAGAGACAGTAGGAAATCCTCAACTTCTTACGTTTTCACTTTGTGTGGATCATGCATTAGTTGGAAATCGCAACTGCAGAATATTGTAGCCCTATCTACAACCGAGGCTGAATACATTGCTGCCACCGAGGCAATAAAAGAAGCTATATGGCTTAAAGGCATTCTACGCGAAATTGGTTTTCTTAAAAAGGATGTCACTGTTTTCTCGGATAGCCAATCGGGAATTCAATTATGTAAAAACCCTGTTTTCCACGATCGTACTAAACACATTGAGATTAAATACCATTTTATTCGTAATGTTGTGGAACAAGGTATTATCAAGCTGGAAAAAATCCCATCACAATTTAATCCAGCAGATATGGGTACTAAGTGTCTTCCACTCGAGAAGTTTCGCTCATGCTTGAAAAGCTTGAGCCTAATCTCTCAATCTTGATCCCTATATGTACTAGCTGGGCTGGCTTTGTGACTGCCCCCTAATCTCTGTGATTATTTAATCTTTGTGATTATTATTGTACTATACTGACTTTGTGTTTTTTGAGTGCAGGAAAATTAAAACGGCAATGATGACCTCCCATCCCAAATTTGTCCCGATGGCCCATTTGGTCCCAGGTGGAGAATGTTAGTTTAATATGGGGGCCCAAATGTCTGATCGGGCCCAAGCCATATGACCCACCTGGCGGCCCATTTCCAAGGAGTTGGCCCATCCTCACTTAAGCCCATGCAGCTTGTAATCTTGACCGTTGGATGACGGGACTCGATCTGGACCGTTCATCCCTCACTTATATACTCTCTCCTTCTCCTGCTAAGTCTCAAACCCTAATCTCTCTTCTCTCTCTCTATCCGTCGCTGCCTCTCTTCTTTCCTTTCTTCTCCGATCTGCTCTCCGAGATCCATGGCAAGAATCAAGTCTTCAATGATTCTTGCCTTCGATATCTCGTCTCTGAGCCTATATAATCTTGGCATATTGAGAGATGAGGGATACGAGTGATACTACCCTTCTTTCTTCCTTCTGGTTTTCGATTCCTCTGTTGTGAGCAACTCGAAATCTTCGTGAGTGAGGGAAAATCTGATTTGGGTTTATACACTGTGGGAAACCGTATCCTTTGTGGGTTGGGTTGGGACCGAGACTGTGAGGGTATTTTGGCTGCGAGTCTTGTGAGGAAGGGAACCTGACACCGGAAGTGGAGCTGCCGCCGACTGGGCCTTGGACGTGGACTCGGGATCGGAGGACTGAGCCGTAGCCATTGTCAACCCCTTCTCAATACAGATCTGGGATCTGTCAAGATTTGTTCATTTCTTTGTTCTACTTTTATTTCATTTAATTATATATAGATATTATCTGTATCCCTAATTCCCTACTCCCATAGGTATTTCAATTCTTGTATCATTTGTTAATCTTTCTTATGGTCTGTAATTTAATCGCTATTTGAACGACCACCCAACATAGACAAAATGTGAAGAGTGAAGGATTCTATAGTAGGGCCATATGCTTAGTATAAAATTAGCACATAAACTTATTGGACCTAACACTCAATTGGTATAACACTTGTTATAGAACATATTTGTAAAAGGGCTTATTTAACACACTAAAAAATGTATGTAGAAATTATCGTTAGCAATTTTCTTAACAAGGATATATAAAAATATATTCTTTTTAGTAACGAAAGAATCCGCAACCAACTCATATAGGTGAATCAGGTAAATTTATAATTTTATATAATAGTTTGCAAACTATACGAGAGACGTAAATAACACTAAAATAATCATGTGAGACAAACTCGAATTCTTGACTGTTGGCAAGAAAATTTGAATTGAAGTCATACACTCAATTACTCTAACCACTAGATCATTTTTAACCGGACAAATATAATATTATTTAGAACTATAGGGTATAGGCCTAGGGCAATGCATTATTTAACTCTCATTATCTTCAATTAGCTGTGCCTAACAATCAATTGGTTCAAATTTGCTAAAAAAATAATTATATTTGCACATTTACTTTTTCACCCTCAATCTCTATATATATTATGTAGTGATCTCTCTTGGTATAACATCAATAAGATGCACAATAACACGTGTAAATTAATTAATATTTAAATTTAAATAATTTGCAGTGTATTGCATATAATCATTTGAACATTAGGGCATTTTTTATTATAATATAATTGACGAGGGTTGACTTTGGAGGACTTGGTGGTAATTTCACAGGGCACGGGAAACGGAAGGGGAAACGGGAAAACGCAGTTCCCCATAACCCATCACACGCCTTCAAGTGCAAAGAAAACGCCGTTTACTCCACGAAGTCAACGACACCACCACAGGCTGAAGAAATGGTGTGTTTTACGACGTCGTATAACGTGGGCATTGAATGCAGGAAAAAGCAAAAACAGCAAACGAAAATTACCACTTAAGTATGGTTTTACTTCCTTCTACAGCTAATCTGCCCACAATTTTCTTCCCCTTTTGTCACGATTGTTTTCCATCCCCCATTCCCCATTGCCTCTGTACTGTGTGTGTGTGCGCTTTTTTCGCGCGTGTGAAAAAAGATAAATTACCTTTTTTTATGGGAGAAAAAGCTAGGTGGGAGATGAAGACGATCAGCATTATGTTGGCGGTGGTGGTCGAACTGCTGATCGGAGCGTCGCCGGCGAATGCATTTTATCTCCCCGGCGTTGCGCCGCGTGATTTCCGTGCGGTTAGTCTTTTTCTCTGATTCTGAAAATTAGTGGGCTATTATTTTAATTTATCTGGGATATTTTCGTAATTTTGAAAAAAAATTGAAATAAAATTTGGGGGTGAATTTTTGATTTGTTGTATGGCTCTCTTGTATATATATATATATATGTGTGCAGGGTGAAGTTCTTGAAGTTAAAGTGAACAAACTTTTCTCAACAAAGACACAATTGCCATATGATTACTATTTCTTAAGTTATTGCAAACCTCCAAAGATTAGTAACAGAGCCGAAAACTTAGGAGAAGTTCTTCGCGGTGATCGGATCGAGAATTCCGTGTATAGTGTAAGTATTTGTTATTCTGATCTAAAGAAAAAAAACACAATTATTTTTGTTGTTGTTTCGTTTGTCCATATAACTTCGTTAATGTACGCGCGTTCCAGTTTCGAATGAGAGAACCACAATCGTGTAAAGTAGCATGCAGAGTGGAACTAACTGAAGCATCTGCTAAGAACTTTCGAAAGAAGATCAACGATGATTATCGCGTCAATATGTAAGCTTTCGTCGTTAGCCGTTTGTTCGTTTATATAATATTTTTTTAGTATTTTAGTGTTAAGTATTTTAGTGTTTGCATGTAGGATTTTGGACAATCTTCCTGTTGCAGTTGTTTGGCGAAGTAAGGATGGAAGTGAACGGAAAATTTACGAACGAGGATTCCCGGTTGGATTTAAAGGGAAATTTTCCGGAGTAAGATTCAATTACGTTTAAATATATTTTTTATTTTCTTACGAATTTCTTGTATACTTATTCATTTTACGATTAATCGTTGTTTTATGGAGCAGAGCAAAGACCAGAGATATTTTATATACAACCATCTTAACTTCAAAGTTAAATATCACCCCGATCCCGATGCCGATACTTCTCGTGTTGTCGGTTTTGAGGTCACTCCTCTAAGGTTTGTGTTCTAGTATCTTTTTCTTTTTTCTTTTCTTTTTTTAAATATCATTTTTTAAAATTTTGATTATTGCAAAACAGCATAAATCACCGTTACAAGAAATGGAATGAAAACAGCACGAAGTTATTAACGTGCAATGCCAACAACAAACAAGTACTTCAACCGGGTTTACTTTCTCAAGAAATCAACTCAAACAAGGAGATAGTATTCACCTACGATGTTTCCTTCGAGGTTCGCCGTTTTCAATAACAGGGTTAATTGCATTCAACACCCCTGTCTTTACTCCAATTGTTAAAAACCCCTCCGTGTTATAAATACTAGCAAAACCCCCCCTATGATTCAATTTTATTAACAAACTACCCCCTAAATTTCTGTACTTCGACTTCTAAACGCTCGTTTTTTTCACAGTCAAGTGATATCCGATGGGCATCAAGATGGGACACATATCTCCTAATGAACGACGACCAAATCCACTGGTTCTCGATCATAAATTCCTTAATGATTGTCCTTTTCTTATCGGGCATGGTAGCTATGATAATGATGAGAACCCTTTATCGAGACATAGCCAATTACAACCAATTGGACCAAGAAGAGGTCCAGGAAGAAACGGGGTGGAAATTAGTCCACGCAGACATTTTCAGACCGCCCACAAACACCAGCCTTCTCTGTGTCTACGTAGGGACAGGTGTCCAAGTCTTCGGCATGACATTTGTCACCATGATATTCGCCATGCTCGGTTTTCTCTCCCCTTCTAACCGAGGCGGTTTAATGACGGTCATGGTTTTCTTGTGGACATTCATGGGCTTATTCGCGGGTTACTCGTCGAGTTATCTTTACAAAACATTCAACGGCAAAGATTGGAAAAGGGTTTCTTTAAAAACGGCACTCACATTCCCTTCGGTACTTTTCATCGTCTTTTTTGTGCTGAACACTCTCATATGGGGGGAGAAATCATCCGGTGCAGTTCCTTTTAGTACAATGTTCGCACTAGTACTATTATGGTTCGGTATTTCGTTACCGTTGGTTTTCTTAGGTAGCTTCTTGGGAGCGAAAACCCCCGTGTCGGAGAATCCGGTTAAAACGAATAAAATTCCTAGGCCGATTCCGATTCAGCCATGGTACATTCATCCGTTATTCGCGATGCTTTTCGGTGGGGTTTTGCCATACGGGGCGGTGTTTGTGGAGCTTTTCTTTATACTGACTTCGGTTTGGCTGAACCAGTTTTATTACATATTCGGATTCCTTTTCGTGGTGTTTGTGATTCTTTTGGTGACGTGTGCGGAGATTACTATCGTGCTTTGCTATTTCCAGCTGTGTAATGAGGATTACAGGTGGTGGTGGAGGGCTTACTTGACTTCTGGTGCTTCGGCTTTGTACCTATTCATGTACGCGGTTTTCTACTTCTGCACGAAGCTGGAAATTACGAAAATGGTGTCGGGGGTCATGTACTTCGGGTACATGTTTGTTATTGCGTACGCGTTTTTTATACTCACAGGGACGACTGGTTTCTGTGCTTGTTTCTGGTTTGTGAGGAAGATTTACTCGTCCGTCAAGATCGATTAGTTAAGGACGAGGATTTACGATTTTCCTCGTAAGAACGAGGGTGATAAGAGTTCATAGTTGATATCTTGATGTACGGCTTAAACTGTAATTTTTATTTTTGGTGGTTAAAAATGTGTTACTGTAGTTGATGAAATGAAACTGCAGCTGTTTTTTATATGAACATTTATGTTGGCCCTTGGAATCTGGATCTTTAATTAAATATTAATTTGTTTAGCAAACTGATTTAATTTTTGAATTTAAATGTTCCAATCAATTTTTAGCATTTATTAAATATTATTTATTTATTAAGAAAAAGCAGATGAGTTTGTTGTACACTTGTACTTTTCCTTTTTCACTGTGAAAAGCAGTACGGGCAATACTTTTTCCATCCTTAAAAAAGAAAAAAGGAAAAATAAAGAAAGAGAAAATAGAGGAAATAAATATTCTTCCCGCCATTTCTAGCTCGCTCCATGCCACGATTCACCTTACCCTATGACACGTGGCAGTCTACGGCACCCACCTCCTCTGTCAGTCAGTAAATATTTTCCCCCAACCCCCCACCCCCAACCAGACGAAGCCATTTCTGTAGTTTGCACTCCAAACCGACGTCGTATGCTCCATCCTGCACTGCCATTCCCCATTTTCGATAAAACACACACACACACACACGCATTCCCCTATGTAAATCAATGTGATGCATAATCAGAGCTAAAAACATTTACAATTTTTAATCTCTTTCTCTCTCACACACAAAAACGCACTCGGATAAGAAATGGAAGACGGAAGCAGAGGAGCTGCGGTTGGTTCCGGCGAGACGACGGCGGAAGAGGACGACAGCTTGGTGATGGCTTCGTCGCTCATCGTCGACGAAGAGACGGCGTTGGAGCTCTCGAAGCTTCTGGACCTGTTCCACACGCCTCCGCCGCCGATGAAGGTCCGTTTCATCGACGACCCGTACTCTTCGCTGATGATTTTCCAGTCCTCGTCGGCTTACGTCACCATCAACGGCAACGAGGAGTCCTGCGGCTCCTCGTTCTCCGACTCCGACTCCTCCGTCATGGCCAGCGTCGACGTCTGCGGCGCCAGGAGGAACAGAGGCGCGTGGTGGTTCGACTCCACCGAGGCGCGTGACTGGTGGATGGAAGGAAGCGTCGGGGAGGCTGACGTGGATTTGGACAGATTTTTAACCGACGGTGGCGATTATGGCGATGAGGCGGAGGATCCAATGTGGGTGGAGTTTCTCAGCGAAACATTAGGATTAGGGCAACTCTAATTAGGGGAAAAAAAAAAAAAAAAAAGGAAGAAGAAGGTTGACTGGGGTTTGACCGCCGTCTGTAAATCGATTTGGTTGTTGACTTCGTTTTGAACGGAGAAATTGTAAAGTTCAATTCTCTAACATAAGATCCAACTTTTTTGCTGATTCAGTTCTTCTTTTCCACAAAACTGTAGATAATCTTCTTTATGAACATGCCTTCTATCTGTTTGCATAAATGCTTCAATGGCGATAGTTATAGTAATCAAGAAGCCTATTTGCTTCTCTAAGCCCACTAAAGTAAGCTCCATGAGTGGTGGAGTACAGCCTTCTGTGTGTGGCTTCTCCTGCAAACATAATCTGAAGTTGTGGATTCAGTGGCTCAGCCAATACATCCATGTCGTCTCCACTCGATCCAACGGCTACGAAGCTGTACGATCCGAAAAACAGAGGATCACTCCCCCACTGGGTCCTCATCGCTTTAACAAACTCGAACCGCTTCCCGGAATTCGAGTTCGACGACAGCAAGTTCGTGGTGGTTGTTGAGAACCCTTTGGCAATCTCAGCTTCTTCGAGAGATTCGATCTCGAGCGCGTTTTTCCCTGTTATCCAAGACACCCAAACGCTCGAGTTAGTGTAGATCGGATATAACAAAGATGTCTTTCTGATCCAATCAGGAATCTTGGGGTGCCTTAGTTCGGAATTCGGTTGACGGAACACCATTTGCAGGAAGGGGGACTTGGTTTCTTGTTCGTGTGGAGGTAGTTGTAAGAACACTTTGTTCACAACACCAAATCCGAGTTTCGAAATTGCCCGATTCTTGGAAATTGGCAGTGGTGGATCGAACATATGAATCCCATTTTTGAGGACTCCTAGTGAGACGGTAACTATCACATGATCGGCCGATAGAGTCGTTCCGTCACTAAAATGCAGCTTCACAGGCCCAAATTCGTGCGATTGTTGCCATTCGATTTTTTCGACTTTTCGATTTAATTGGATCGTACCCGAAGGCAAAACAGAAGCTAGAGACTCGACCAGGCTCGTGTAGCCTCGAGCTATGGTAATCTCTTCCCCCGGAAAAATTGCGTCCGCATACTCTCTCTCCGCGTTGTAATCAAGAACCGTTAAATCATCCGCAGAACTGTAACCCCTCTGTATATTCTCGTGCATCGCGAAAATTGCCTCCTCGATCGATTTCCGGCTCCAATTTCCGACCCCTTCGACACCTTCACGACCTTTCGAAACTCCCCAATAAGCTTCGAGACCTCGCCTGAGAAAAGAACCAACACTCAGATTTTCACCATCAGAGCAATTCTTCCCTATTTCAGAGATGAGGTCACCATCTTCATCAACGGACTTGCCCCTCATGTGATTCATGAGATTCTTGAACAGGGTGGAAATGGGGTGGACAGTGGATGGGCTGAGGCGGTGGCCACCTTCTGCTACGGTGGTTGGGTTGCCGGAATCGATGCCGATCATGCACTCCCATGGGCGGTGAGAGTGGAGCAGGTTTTGTTCTTGGGCGATTTTGTAAAGCGGGCTGCCTTCAATTCCGTGGATCCAAGTAGCGCCTTGCTCGATCCGATCGCCGCAGAACTCGGACGAGTTAATCCGGCCGCCGATCCTGCTTCCGCCCTCCACAACCGTGAGCTCGAAAAGCTGCTTCAGGTGGGTGGATGTGTGGAGCTTGTTGGCGGCGGTGAGACCCGCCATTCCGGCGCCGACTACCACGACTCTGGGCTTTACGTTCGCCATTTTTTTTTCTCCCTTTCTTTATTGATTTCCCTTATCTTTTTTAGCTGCTCGATTATTTGCTTATTCACCGACAAAAAAGAAAAGGGACTGCTGAACTGGTGAAGATAAAGCTGTCTGTATGAACTCTTATTATAGTAGCGACTGAATGATGTACCTACCTTTCTTGAAATCTACCACTTTGTTACAATTATGTTTTGAGATTAAATTCTAACTTCTAAGGTGATCCTATTGAATATAAATCGGATTCTATTAATTTTTTGACGTGTCCTACTTTTAAGTCTTAACTCTTAATAAATCACGCTGATTATAACTAGGGTTAGAAATTAGCTGATTATAACTAGGGTTAGAGTTATAATTACGGTTAGAGGGGTTACGGGTTATGCTCAGTTTTCTTTTTCCTTTTCTTTTTCTTGCACCAAAAGGCGAAATCCCTCGCCCCCAGGGCCCCCATCCCTTGGCCCGACAAGGATTGATGAGGGAATGTAAATCATGGTAACTCAACGGCCCGTTAAGGTAGCGGACCCGGACCTGGTGCCCACAAGGAACCAACCTTATTGGAAATCCTTTTCTTTTTCTTCCAATTATTAGAACGAGCATTTTTTCCCGTGCGATGCACGGGATATTATTTCAAAAGTGAAAAAAAAATTAATCAATTTAATACATAATAAGAAAATATAGTATACTACAATAGTAAAATTTAATAATGTAGTATTATTCATATTTTATATAATATTAGTTTTTTTTTTAAATCTGACATATTAAGATTTATAATCCAAATATATAGAGATTAATAACGAATCGAAATTCTATATTTATCTTTTAAGATTTGAGATATATTGATCAAAAATAGGAGATTGGTAATTGTTGAAAATTATAGTAAAAAATTAGTAGAAAAAAAATATTAAAAATAAATAATTACAAAAGTACCGTTCGACAGGATTCAAACTATTGAAAATATTTAATTACAGAAATACCATTAGGGTTCTTTAGGGTTGCCCAACGTTTATTTCTTTTATATATAAGATCCTAATTATATTTTTATTTAAACTATCTACGTGTCAATCATCCAATGACATCCGATTTTCCTATTAAAATAGACCGTTCGGTCTAAATTACGAGGATATGCCTTTTCAAGCTAATGGACCGTAAAAAACGTTAACATAATGTATTACATTATCGAAAGTAGCCATGTGTTAAAATTAGTTATCGAAAGAGTAATCGTAGTTTTGAATTTGGAAAATATATCCATGTATTAACCCCAATAGGCCAATTGAAACAACTGAGCCCACTAATTGGAGTATGGATCCATACCCAATAAATTGATTTTTGTCGGATCCGGCCCGAGCCCACTAATTGGAGTATGGATCCGTACCCAACAAATTGATTTTTGTCGGATCCGGCCCGAGCCCTAATCTGAAATAGCCACCCCCTTTGGCGGGAGAATCTCTCTCCTCTCTCTCTCTCTCTTCTCCGATGTCGAGATTCCCAGAGATAAGCTCTCTATTTGGTGCACTAGCATCCAATCTCCAGACTCAACATCCGGCGGCCGAAAATGAAGTAGATCACTCTCTCTATGTTCTGAACCGTTCACTCAACCTGAGTGAAGCGCCAAGGGTTCGCGTTCTGGAAACCGCTCTCTCGCTCATGGGCTTCACTGCTCCACAGGTCTGCTTTAGGTTTCCCTAAAAATCATCGAATTTCGATTACGTAATCGGTGATTTTTCTGATTTTTTTTTTGTTTACTGATTTTGGTTTTTGATTTCTCGTAGGTCTATGAGTCGGCGATTGAATTTACAGTGAAAACATTAGTTGCTGTTTTATCTTCTTCGATTGAGTGCAAGGTGTTGAAAATCAATAGTTATCGGGTTTTGAAAGTGGGCGGTTTGATTCCGGGAAGAGATTGTGGCAGTGTTGTGGAAATGTGTGCCGATATTTTGGGGAAATTTGATGGACATAATAAAGGTTATCTCTATGTTGTTAATTGTTATTATCAATGCACATTCAGTATTTTTCTACTTTGCGTTTACGTTTACGTTTCTATGGTAGATTAATTTCAGATTAAATTTGCATTACTTGTTCTGTAACCGGGTGGTTCGGGTAGTTTTATTTCCTGTTTCGGCATTCAGGTATCTTGAATCGTGGAATATATTTGCTGCAGGTAACCTTTCTGCTTTACTTTTGCACAACGTTATCAGAGTAGCAGCTCTTGCACCCTGTTCTCCACATGCATTGCCGTCGACTTCCGATGTCGATATGGAGTTCGATGATTCCAGCACTTCTGCTCTTGCAAATTTAGTTGGCCATTTGACAAATGAGTTCACAGTTAAGAATGGCGAAATACCTTCAAGGTGGGGGGCTATGTGTAATTTTAGTATGTGCTACCATTTTATACGTAAAACTATTTGTCACTCCCTTTTTGTGAAAGCATCGTCGAAAAAGTGAGATATATGTATGTGTTTGCAAGCTTACTCAATTGCTTTTGCAGGTTGATGTTATGGCATTTAGATCCGATGATGTTGAAGCAAGATTTATCACAAATTTTGCAAGAAATCGTCGAAAGGCCATTCCTCTGTTTGAGCATGGAGATTTACAATAGGATAGAGTGGAGATCCAAACTGATTTGCATTGCCATATCACCCTCGATTTTCGCCGAGACAAGGGCTTTGTTGCACAAGTGGTTCCTAATGACGTAAGTTTGTAATTTCATTTTAATATTTTTGATCTTTTACCAAATTCTTTCTCCTTTTCGATTTAAACTTTGTAATTCAAACAACACATTCAGTTTATGCTATTTTCTGAGAAGTTCTGAAATTCTGTTTCTAATGAAAAAATACAATGTATATTCTTTTAGGAGGTCAGGTTTTATGTAACCTATATAATTTGAACGAAACTTGAAAGTAACTTAGGAGATCTCATCTGACTACTGTTTCACTAAATTGGTAGGCTTGGATTTACGTAACAGGGGTCTGGCTTCCGTCATGGAATTTCTGACCGTGCTTGTTGGGCAAGTGCTTGATATAATTTCCAGACCGATGTGGTGGGGAATATCCATGGAGGTTGGATCGAAGCTCCCATTTTCTCATGCGTATTTCCCCTACGACCATGATTTATTGAGAATTTTGGCTGCACCTGTATCCCTGGAATACTTTCAGTGCTTGCTTTGCAAAATAAGTGGCTCGATTTCTACTGCTGGAGTTCATTCACATTCCTCTCCCTTGAGAACTGCAATAAAGATTAGTACAGTAGATCATAAATCCATGTGGTACATTCTTCTACCTGTCTCTTAATAATCATTTTCACTTTTTTTTTTGGAAAACTAATTTTATCTATCGTGTTACAGGTCCATGGTGGTGAACTTCCCTGATTGGTTCTTTTATGCATCCATATTGCTCTTTTGTGATAGCATTCCCGCAGATAATCTTGGTTCCGGAACATTCCCTACGTCAGTTAAGCTTAAGTCTCGTCTAATGCATGATTCTGAAGTAGCTTGTCCCTCAGGGGCAGCAAAGTTTATTGCCTGGTTTTTAAACCCCATGAACGAATCTAGTCAATCACTCACCGTTGATTATCTAGTGAAGGTTTCGGATTTATGGACTCTGAAATGCTCCTGCCCAAATAAAGGTACAGAGGTAAAACGGGTTCCTAAGGAGAAGACTAGCAGGCTCAAATTATTACACAATAAAAAAGGAATAACTCCCCAAGAGCTGGATAGTTCTGCGGTGTTTATTTGGCTCAAGGAATTCGAAGACACGTATATTAAGATTTTCAAAACGAGTGGTGTTTCGAGTTCCAACGCAAAGGGCTTCAGCTTCCACCGAAACCTTTTTTTGAGGAAGGTGCCGTTAGGCATATTGCTTCTGTGTCCTAATCGTTTAAATTTAGCAGGATGCTCCTTGCTTTTGCATTATGCTGCTACTGGATCTATTGTAAAGCTTTCAGATATGCAAAATTCTGGAAAAGGCAAAAAAGTACCGAACTACTATTGGCAGGGGGACTCGTTGATATGGATTGAGCATTATACTAAAACGGAGGCTATTGCAGGGTGTAGAATCGTCTTTGATATAACAGATGTTGCCGAGAGTATTTCTCCTTCTATGTTTGAAACCGAAGAGGAGGGAGTGAATTTTATCTGCCAACTGAAATCAAAGAGTTGGGATTATCTATTTCAGTGTATCAAAAGGTTGCTTGAAATCAAGATTGATGGAGACGGGGCCCACATGCAAAAGGATCTTCTCGCAAGAGTAATGAGGTGGAGGCATCAAGGTAAAGATGTTTTCGAAAACAACAAGGATATGGATTTCGTATGCAACACTTTGGACGTATAAATAGCTTCATCACGGTATGTATAACTAAAACTGAATCTTAATTCTTACATATGTATTATCATGTCTCGAAAACAATATGTGTGTATAAAAAACTTGTTTTCACATTGCGTATATTGCTGACTGGAGAATGATATATCTTTACAATTTGCCATTCACCCCCTCTAGGCAAACAGTGAGAAATTTCTTTAAACTCGAAATCCTCCATTGAAGCATCTTTTACTCGAAGACGATACATCTTGATCTTTATATGTATGTATGCATGACTATGCTATTCTCTTATCCAAAGAGATCTTAGTCGGATCGCCACCCCATTCTTCGAATACAACCAACAGATTCCCGCTTGGTTTCAGCCATGAACGCGGTAGATGGTACCTAAAAGTTCTCATTTTTAGAGATATTTTTTTCTAATATGAATAAAAGTCATTTAATGCTGTCAAATAAGCTTTTATTACCATCTCTGAGAGGGCTGACCGCAATTTCTTTGGCATTTCTTCTCAGTGAAAGTGCCAGCATAATTACACTCACCGCAGCTACCTTTAGCTATATATCCAGGCCAGTGTCTGCCTATGCTTTGCCCGTTTATCCATATCTCACCTTTTCCCATACTAATCATATCTAATCCCAATGGATCGTTTCCTTCTGGTGCGTCAAATGTTGTCTGTAACAAATCAAAAAACGTATATATATGTTACACGAACTTATAAGCTAGATTAGTTGAGTTTTTTTTACCGGACGAAAACTTACCTTATACCACGTTAGAGGTTGGTTTTGAGCCAGCTGGAGGGATCCTTTTACCCTTTCACTGACAGTAGCAAGGCTTAGTGATTCTCCTTTCAGACCAGTCTATACACGAAGTAAAACAAACGTCGTGTTACGCTTATGAATTTTTGTAATGCTCGAAAATAATTGTTTTGTAGCACAAACCTTATAAAACCATCTCTGCTTTGTCAAGTCTCTTGTCCCTTCATTGACACCCTTCAATGTGATTGGACCAAGAACTCCCGTATTCCACCTCTCGTAATGCACCCCAACATTCTGACCGGAAAGAAAAAAAAAATCGATTTTTATCATTAACAATGTAATAGCATAAGTAATTCGGAAAGAAGGTATAAACTAACCGGTAGACCAACGGAGACGCTAAGTAAAGAAACTTTGTTAATTCCCGCTCTCAAATTAACGTATTTGCTGTAAGTTAATTTCGGTTTGTCCAGGCTTCCGTATACAGTTCCTGCCACAGATAATTCAGCGTGAAAAATATGCATATTATGATACGATGAAAACCCGGGTTTCTAATTACCTGAAAACTGGCCGTTGATGAAAACATGCAAAGTATCTCCAGCTGACATTACTGTGAGAAGTGGCCACTGTCCGCTCTTTAGAAATCCTTCGTTCGAAGCTATATTGATGCTGTAAATAGTAGAAAAAAAATACGTATTATATAGACGAACGAGAAATTCAATAATAAAATAATAACGAATATTCTTGATATACACTTACTCTGTCAGATACCATAGATAATCGGAGGAATCTCTGGTAACATTTACTTGCTCCCACAAACCTTGCATTGCAAGTGTGTCGCCGTCGTCTGCAGAAGGAGTCTGTTCGTTATACGATTCCCAATTTAATCCACTACTTATTGGTACCATTTTTGCCTCGGACCCTTTTGAGTTAATCTGCAGCCACATACGTAAATATACATATCGAATATTAAAATCCATCGCTCTTTTTTCATTAATAGAAAAAATTGATTTATTTTGGATGATTATCAATTTCTTACCGTTGCAGTGTTGTAAACTGCAGTCTTGCAATCGGGCAAAATGCTGATTGACCAGGGGGGCAAATCGTATTGCATATTTCGAAAAGTCAACTTTGTCGAATATGTAGTGTCGAAATTGGAAAGAAATGCGGCACAAGCCCCCGATTTTGATTGGAAGACATGAACCTACGATGGGTTTACGAGCCAAGGTTAATAGGGAAGAAAAAAAAAATCGTCACAAGAATATAAAGTATAATTTACTTCTTGATTTTTCCCAGGCCATGTTACTGTGGGATATGAAGAAACTAAAGCTGCTTCACTTTGCTTAATTGCTTTGTGCAAATCCCTCAAATGCCCCCATTTCGGCTCGTTCAGAAGTCCTAATTACGAAAAATAATCGTATTTATTTATATAAGACACATTAATAAAGATTAATTTACAGTAATGGCACTTAGGCAATTATTACCATATTCATCTATTGGAGCATCGTAATCGTAGCTGGTGGCGACGAAAAGACCAGCTGCATTTCGACCAAAATTTGTTCCTCCGTGGTACTGTAGCAAATAACAATAATCAAGAATTATTAAATTATTTGTTTATCGAACAAAAATGCCTATTTGGAAGAGAATTAAATGTAAACAATTACCATGTAATAATTGAAGAAAGAACCATTGTTCTGTACAAATCTAGCCACTGAAAAAGCCAAGTCTTCAGCAGGTCTGTAAGGAACTGGACCACCAAATTGTGTGTACCTAAATCACATATAAAAAAAGTTCAAAAAAATATTTTATTAAAATATATAAATATTTATATAAAGAACTGATAATTCGATAAATTACCAGCCAGTCCAGGCTTCAGTCCACATTTTCGGTTTATTCGGCCTATTAGGAGTGAAGCCTTCACAGTAGAAACCATTGCAAGTATCTATCTGGAAGAGTTAAAATACCGAATTAGCAAAATATCTAAAAAGATATCCGAAATTTGAAATTCAGAGACGAGAAGATAAATACACTTAATATAATATTTTTTTATCTGATCATTTAAAAAAAAAACGTAATCAGAATTTTCTTACCATTGGATCAGGAGCAGTTTCTTGTTTGCACATGATCCACGGAACACCGGTATCGAGGCCAACAGCCATTTTTGCTGCCCATGCACTATAAGCTTTACCCGGAGCACCAATTTCCCACTCTATCGGTCCATATTCGTTTTCTATCTGCAGTTTTTCGATTCAACAAAATTAATTTTTTTTAAATTAATTAATTTATGGGTAAAAAAAAGCAAAATAGACTAATAAAGCACACTCTTTTTCAACCTGTGACATGATTATTGGCCCTCCCCGAGGCTCAAACAAATTTTCCGACTTCATCAAGTTGACGATTTTTTCGACAAATCTTTGCATAGCAACCTTAACAAGTCAATGAATACCAAAACCCATTAGCTGAAATAAATTAAACTAATGCAATTTAGTCAGCAAAACAAACCTTAAAAAATAAAAATTCAAACCTTAAAAGGTTGATTGTCTGTCCTAAATTCTATTCCTGGAACATATTTCAGCCAAACAGGGAATCCCCTGCACCAGAAAACAGAGCAATATGCATGTCAGTAATAATAATCAAGAAACACAACATAATTTCATTTTATTTTGCATGTCTGTAAAAATTAATTAGCATTACCCAAAATTCCATTCTCCACAAACATAAGGCCCGATTCGGAGATGAACGTAGAGCCCGGCCTGATGTGCTAGTTTAATGAACTTGACAAGATCGAACCGCCCTTCGAAATTATACTGGAATGAAAAAAAAAGATTCAATTTTTCAGCTTAAAAAAGCAAAATTAATATAGAAAAATAAAATAAAAATGCAATCTTTTTTTTTTTTCAGGTTTATACATTTCCAGGAGATGGCTCATGCCCATTCCAAAACACATATGTTTGTATAACATCTAATCCTCCATCTTTAGCCTTCTGTATAAGATCAGGCCACATCTACAACCCAAAATAAAAAAATCAATTAATCAACATTAAACTACACATAAATCAAAAGAAGAAAAAAAAAAGATTCGATTTTTATTATTTGTTTTACCTCAGGAGTGCTTCTTGGATAGTGAATAGAACCGGATATAAGAATCTTCCTTTGCCCATTAATGATAAAGGCTTTGTCATCATAAGAAACAGTTGCTCTAACAGAAGAACAAGCAATTGCCAACAAAACCGTAACCACCAAAAATTTGATTTTCGACATTTTCAAGATTGAACCCATTTCTCATTGGGGTGTCTCCTAGCAATATATATACAGGGTTTTTTTTTTTCTTTTTCTTTTTTTGTTTGGGTTCTTGAAAATAGGTTAAAAAAATCAAATCTTTAATCGAGCACTAGAAAACAGAAAATAGAACAGAAAGAAAAGATGAGAAAAAAAGAAACGTCCAAGAAACCGTCCTTTATTGATTCTTGCAAGAATGAAAAAAAAATGAAAGTTGTATTTAATAGTTATATCTTTGTTGTGTGCAGCTGAATGTATAAAGAAATGTGGGGGAGTTAATTTATTGAGTGGAGTTTCTGGTTATCTGTGCATGAGAAATTGGGGAAGCTCCAACTGCTTCATAAAGATTTATAGAGTGGATTCATAGATTGTAGGGGCCCACCCGTTCATCCTTTACCGGGAAATATAAAATTTTCGCCCCTCAATTTTGCACGGATTATAAACATTTGGTCCCTCGTATTTACAAAAAACACCTTTAATCCCTCATATTTCAATAATTTAACACTTTCGATCATTTTCACTAATTTATCGTTAATCCGTCAGTTAAGTCAGTGCAACGAACACGCTTGATTCCATTAGTGCTAATGGATATTTGACGAAAATGACTAAGAGTGTCAAACTTTTGAAACATAAGGGACCAAATGTGTTTTTTGTGAACATCGGGAACCAAATGTGAAATCGGTGCAAACTTTAGGGACGAAAACTGTATTTTTCCCTCCTTAACCAATGAAGTTTTACATTTTAGTCCCGTCTCACAAGGGATAAGCTCGTAACTGGAGCAAGTGAATCCGTGTCAAATTGATCCAAATTTGAATCATTTTGCCAAAAATTGTTACGTCGGGTTCCCCCTCAAATATTATATATTTTTTTTAGAAAGCAAATATTATATTATTCCGATAAAATAATTGAGTTTTCTAAAAACATATTGTATGTGGTTAATATTAATTTGAGCATATTTGGACCAAACATCAATCCACTTAGCTAGCATCAATTAAATCATATGCACATACCATTTAAATCCAGATAATATTTATTTTCTTTTTTATTTAATTTCTTGCAAGTTGGCGTAGGCCTCACAATTCACAAACATGTCATTAATTCCTGGAAAACTTGTTTGGGAAATTTGTTTGCTTCCAGAGTTTTTTCATTTATAAGCACAAGCTTCCAGTTGGCTACTAATAGCCCTCTTTTACCTACCCTTTTTATTTCATATTTTCAATATTTTCTTGTTTTTTTTTTTATATATAATAAATATTTAATTTTACATTTGAAAAGAAAGATTATAAAAAAAATAAAGTGAGAGAGAGAGAGAGAGAGATGGCATTCTTTATAATCTTTACATTAAAAAGCTAATGTAGATTTTAGGTCATCTGGAACATTACAAAAAGAAGCATAAAGAATAGATTTTCCACAAATTATTATTATTCCATCTTTAATTAGGTGGTCTAATCTTGTTTATAAAAAAAAATATATTAATTTGTACGTATACAATGCATGGCTACCTGACATGCACTAATGCATTATCTAATTCAAGCACCATACACTAATCCATCATCTTTTGGGCATTATTAATTTAAATTAAAACAAATCCAAGCTTTAGTTGCGATGAATCTTTATTCATTAATATTAAAATAACTGTCCTACTTTTTCATTAGTCGTTACTTTAAATGTATAATTAATCTTAAACGACATTTATTTCAAAACAATTTTCATCGCCAACAAGAACCTTAAAAAGAGAGTTTTAAAACAAGGGGAAACTACAGATAAATCCCTAATCCAAAACTCAAAACACAGATCAGTCCCTAGGTAGTTTCCCTAAGCAATTCAGTCCCTATTCACGCGTCTGACATGCAGATCAGTCCCTAATGTGAATTTTATATATTTTATTATATTCTCTCTCTTCTTTTTCATTCTCACCCTTTTCTCTCTCCTCCTTTTCTCTCTCTTCATTTTCTCTCTCTTCATCTTCTCTTTCTTTCTTCTCTTTCTTCATTTCTATCTGCTCTCTTTCTTCTCTATTTCTTCTCTCTTTCTCTCCTCTGGTTTCCTCTTTTTCCAAAGAAAATATCATTGTAAAACCCACCCACCCCACAATGGCTACAAATGATGTATCTAATGATGTACCCACTGTGATTCTTGGAAGTTGTCGATATAAGCATCTGATAATGAAGATGAGTGTGGTCGACATTGTCGTGATCCGCAAAGATGAAGCTAATTCGCGTGGAAAGAGGGTTCGCACCGATGGCTGGTAGGTCTCCATATTTTTCTGTACTGCTGAAATGCATTTCTTTATGGTCGTTAATTATTGTGATACATAGTATAAAATATGGCACGTAATAGTATCATGCTAATATAAATATGGTATGGACGTATGGTACTTACAGTACGTAATCGTTGTTCGTATAGTATGCGTGATTGGTAAATTTGGTACTGTTGGTGGGAAAACATAGTATCATATAATGGGGAAGATAGTACGTAACCTTCATCTGAATAATATGGGTGATAGGTAAATTTGGTACTGTTGGTGGGAAAACATAGTATAATATAATGGGGAAGACAGTACGTAACCATTATTCGGATACGTACAAGCAGGTATATCAATTCACGATTAACCCAATTCCCTCGTTTGATGAGGACTTTGACTTGTACGATGCGTGTAATGCTCCGCCCGATGTCTTTGTTAATGCAGCTGATTGAGAACTCGACCAGGACGTAGAAAGACAAAAAGAATTCATTCACAAGTGCAGTTCGGGTTTTACTGTTGCCCACACCATGGTTACTCCCATTGGTGTGAACCATTTGAAGTTACGCAAACTTTTTCCAACTCAAATCGTGAAGAAAATGAAGCTACAAGTGCGTCGATGAACCAAGTCCATCGAGAAAGTGAAGTGAAGAATTGCAATTCTGAAGGTGGAGTAGTTCATAGTTTGATAGTGTTGAATCTAGTAATATTTGCAGTCTACATGCTATGTAAAACCTATGTACTGTTGTTTAATTAGTGAACATAAGAGTACAATGTATAAGCTGGTAAAGTTAGGGTTATTCGTGAATATAGTACGCTTTGTACACATGTGAAGTACAAGTGATTCGTGAATATAGTACGCTTTGTTCACTGATAAAGTATATGTTTGTCATTCATATAGTATTGTTACACTGTATATATTATTGTCGGGCCAATGCATCCATATGATCGCATTTGAAGACACAACTCTTCAGTTTAAGACTATTAAGAATGAATGGAGACAGTGTGGGAGTTGATCAATATCGATTATGGTAACAATTGAGGAAAATATTAGTTTTACACTTGAGCATTGTAGGCTTGTATGAATATATTGTATAGTATATGAGTATCATGTATGAAATTCAACATATTTATGGGATCTTGTATTCCAAACGCAACAATAATGCTCACCTACCTTAAAATAATCATCTAAAACATAATTTATGCATCTCCCGTACTTATTGATCATTAAAGCGTCAATGAAATTGGTACAATTCAATTCATCAAAAAATATGGTACGCTTTGTTCATCAAGTAAGTACAATGAATGCACATGTGAAGTACAAGTGATTCGTGACTATAGTACGCTTTGTTCACTGATAAAGTATATGTTTGTCATTCATATAGTATTGTTACACTCTATATATTATTTCCGGGCCAATGCATCCATATGATCGCATTTTAAGACACAACTCTTCAGTTTAAGACTATTAAGAATGAATGGAGACAGTGTGGGAGTTGATCAATATCGATTATGGTAACAATTGAGGAAAATATTAGTTTTATACTTGAGCATTATAGACTTGTATGAATATATTGTATAGTATATGAGTATCATGTATGAAATTCAACATATTTATGGGATCTTGTATTCCAAACGCAACAATAATGCTCACCTACCTTAAAATAATCATCTAAAACATAATTTATGCATCTCCCGTACTTATTGATCATTAAAGCGTCAATGAAATTGGTACAATTCAATTCATCAAAAAATATGGTACGCTTTGTTCATCAAGTAAGTACAATGAATACACATGTGAAGTACAAGTGATTCGTGACTATAGTACGCTTTGTTCACTGATAAAGTATATGTTTGCCATTCATATAGTATTGTTACACTCTATATATTATTGTTGGGCCAATGCATCCATATGATCGCATTTTAAGACACAACTCTTCAGTTTAAGACTATTAAGAATGAATAGGAACAATGTGGGAGTCGATCAACATCGATTATGGTAAGTTTTTCGTGAATACACATGTGAAGTACGCTTTGTTCATCAAGTAAGTACAAGTCTAGTGTTGACAAAGTATCTTCGAATAGACTAGAAAGTATTTGTTGCTCATTTTTATGGTACGCTTATATTCTTTATACAAACTAATTAATCGCAAAATAAAGTACCATGTGTTCAAAAGGTAAGTACATTTCATCGAAACATATAGTACAATGTATACAATGGAAAAGTACGAGTAGAGCTAATCAATAGTATTATTAGCTCTACAACAAAAGGACAGATTGTTTATGGCACAAAAAACACATTCATCTATTTGAAAAGCGATCGGTGAGCACCTGCAGCCTATTGATAGCTTACTGCAATCTTCTTTTACATCAATTCCTGCAATTACATACACATAAAACTACAATTATAACAAATACAACGTACTATAAAGTTCAACTACTAGTACTTCCAGTAATTTCGTTCAATACCATCCAAATGCACTAGCAATACCATTGTTGCATATGACACATACTACACTACAATCAAACATTATACTATTCGAATGCACTAGCAATATCACTCAACAGCACTAGCAATACTATTGTGGCATATGACTTATACTACAGAACCACCAAACATTATACTTCAAGTACCCTGTGTCAATACCATCTAAATGCACTATTAATACCATTACTGCGCATGACACATACTATAGAACCAGTACGAAAAATACAATAAGCCTCTTTCCCATATCATAAGAATAATACCCAAGAGAAAACTATTACAAAATCATGAAATTCGACAACAAATAAATGATCTTTGCAAACCCAAACAACAGAACAACAGATATTGGAACCGATTTAATGATTAGGGGAAACACCGAATAAAGTCGAGGCATAATACCCATGAGTGGATATGTTCAAAATCATGCAATTCTATAACAAATTAACCTTTTGCAAGCTCAAGCAACACCCAAATGGGTCTGTTTCCAATAAAATGAAAAAAAAAAAAAAAATCAAACCTTGTTGTTTACCATGCTTCACCATTGTCTATAAATGGGTTTGTTTATTTTTATTTTTCCTTTCGCTTTATTATTTTTCTGCGTTTTGTTGATTCTTCGTGCTTCGTAATTTCTTCGTTCTTTGTTGTTTCTTTGTTCTTCGTTTCTTTGTTCTTCGTTTCTTCTCTGTTTCTTCTTGGTCTGAAAATGGGTATAAACTGGCAAAGAGCGTGTAATACAAACGGCGCGTTGGAAGTTGAAAAGAAGTTATGTAAAATTAATATAAAGTAAAGGGTATTTTAGTATTTGCACATTTTATTAGGGACTGATCTGCATGTTAGGCGCGTGAGTAGGGACTGAATTGCTTGGGGAAACTACCTAGGGACTGATCTGTGTTTTGAATTTTGGATTAGGGATTTATCTGTAGTTTCCCGAAAGATTTTCGTTCATCTTGTTCCAGCATCCCAACCCCACGCACTACCCCACCCTTCGCCGCCGCCGCCACCACCACCACCACCACCACTAACACCATATCTTCATCTTGTTTCCCAGCAGCATTCCACCCCCAAGCACTACCCCACCCTCCTGCGCCAACAACAGGCTCACCAGCACCACAACTTCTTCAGATCCACCTCACAAACCCCAAGCAAAAAATTTCAACATTTAATCCCCTCATTTTATGGCTTGATGAAAAAATAAAATTGCACCAAAATTAGGTTATATTAACAATATTTTCTCTCGATTTCTTCCTCTAAATCTACCAAATATGGAGGATTGGACAATCTTCTTACAATTGAGGTCGCCGCCATGCCGCGGCGGCAGGTTGTGAGACCGGTGCAGCGGCAACGGTCATCCTTGGAGTTCTAGAGTCTAGAAAGCACTTATGTCTGCGGTTCTACAGATTTCCGGGCTATGGGTCTCCCCTGAAGATTTTCTACATCTTTGACGGGGTGGGTTTGAGGAAGATGAAGAAGGAAGGAGAGGAAAGAAAAAAGATGGGAAAAAAAAAAAAAGAAAAAAAGAAAAAAAGAGGCTTGGGGTGTATTGGGGGTATTTCTGACATTTCATACGCCAAAAGGGAGAAAAAATCGCACTAGCAGCGCGTGAGGGACACGATTTGTTCCGAGGGGTCTCGGTGCATTGACTTTTGTTACACAGGGAGGTATAGGTGAATTATTTTTTGACAGGGGGGTATTTGACAATTAGAGATTTCACAGGGGTGGTATTTGCAATTAACTCATTAAACAACAGACGGCCATTAATTTTCAGAAAAAAATATTTTGTTGTTTCTCAAGAGTACTGTTCTTCGTCAGGATAAAGGCTAGGTCCGAAATCAGGTAAACTTTTACATGTAGCGTTATGGTATTTTCGTAATTCTCTCTTCGAAATTCGCATAATATTTTTCATTTTTATTATATATTTTTTTTGTGGGTTCGGTATTTGCTGTTAGATTTTTAACTATAGAATCTTGATATATGTATGTATGTAGTAGCTTTCTTGATTTTTGATATAAGTTAAAAAGAAAATTAACATCCAAATTAAACCCTGATAGAAATCTAGTTAGTATTTACGTACTTTTATGCATGGTATCAATTTAGCACTTATTAAAAAAAAAAAGAATTCATGCAGTAAAAGTAGAACTTGGGTTTTTTATAAAAAAAAATTAATAATCGTACAATAAATTAGAGAAGAATTAAAGATGTTTGTCACATTTAATTTACATGTTTAATTCTTACAAATTAAAAATAGATTGAAATTTCTTAGTCAGGTAATTGAGCGAGCATAGCCGGTAATAATACACGTCACCATGTCGTCGGAAATTCCCGAAGAAAACGACAAGAATATCGAGATATGGAAAGTAAAGAAACTGATAAAGGCTCTAGAATCTGCTCGAGGAAACGGTACGAGCATGATATCCCTCATCATTCCACCTGGCGATCAAATATCCCGAGTGACGAAGATGCTAGCCGAAGAGTTCGGTACAGCTTCGAATATTAAAAGTAGGGTTAATCGACAATCGATCTTGGGCGCAATCACTTCCGCTCAATCGAGGCTCAAGCTGTACAGCAAGGTTCCCCCTAACGGGCTAGTTCTCTACACCGGAACTATATTGACCGACGACGGTAAAGAAAAGAAAGTCAACTTTGACTTTACGCCCTTCAGGCCCATAAACGCTTCTCTATACCTCTGCGACAATAAATTCCATACCGAGCCCTTGACTCGGCTCTTGGAATCGGACGACAAATACGGGTTCATTGTCATTGACGGAAACGGGACCCTTTTCGGTACGTTGACCGGTAATAGTAGGCAAGTGCTTCACAAGTTTACGGTTGACCTTCCGAAGAAACACGGGAGGGGCGGACAGTCGGCTGTTCGGTTCGGCCGTCTCCGAATGGGCGGCACAACTACGTAAGAAAAGTTGCTGAGCTGGCGACGCAGTTGTATATCGATCCTGCGACCAACCAGGCGAATGTGTCGGGGCTAATACTTGCTGGATCGGCCGACTTCAAGACCGAGCTGAGTCAGTCGGATATGTTTGACCCTCGACTCGGTGCAAAGGTGGTGAAGTTGGTGAACGTGTCGTACGGTGGGGAGACGGGCTTCAACCAGGCGATCGAACTGTCTGCCGAGATTCTGTCGGATGTGAAGTTTGTGCAGGAAAAGTGGTTGATTGGCAAATTCTTCGACGAGATTAGTCAAGATAGCGGCAAGTATGTTTTCGGAGTGGAAGACACGATTAAAGGGCTTGAGATGGGAGCGGTCGAGGTTTTGATCGTGTGGGAGGATTTGGATGTGAACCGTTATTTGTTCAAAAACAGGGCGACCGACGAAATTGTGGTGAAGTACTTTGACGACAAGGATGCGGAATTGGAGGTTCAAGAGGAGATGCCGTTGGTCGAGTGGTTTGCGAACGAGTACAGAAACTTTGGGTGCTCGCTCGATCGAGTTTGTGACTAATCGGTCGCAAGAGGGTTCCCAGTTTTGCAAAGGGTTTGGTGGGATTGGGGGAATACTTCGTTACCAGGTTGATATTCGATCTTTTGACGAGTCGGACGACGATGACGATGATGGAGGAGATTTTTTCGAGGATTCGGATTAAGTTCGACAAGTCGTTAATTCAACAAGATTAATTAGACCAAACCATAATAAGGAGTAATTAACTTACTTGGAATATGTTAGATTAGATTCACTGACTCCTAAACCAGAATATTTTATTGCTGTTTTTGTCAATTCAGATTTGATTTTTTTCTTTTCAATTGTCTCTGAAAGGGGATGTTCTTATTTCTAATTTACCTGTCATGGATTCCTAATTTTGTTTTATAGAGATCGAACGTGATAAATGTTGTTTCAGTTTTAATAATATTGTTTTGATTTCAAACGTGATTTTAACAATTTTTTTATTTTGAATTCGGGAAAACTCAAAAAATTGGAATTCGTAGGCCTTTGAGTTAGCTTTCAAATTCAATTTGATTCGCTAAGATTGAATATCGGTGAGAAAGATATGGATAAATCGATGAACATTGATAAAAATTCAAAAATAACTTTGTCACCGAACATCCAATCTTAGCTAATTCAAATTGGATTATAAAGATAACATTGATAAAAATTCAAAACGTAACTTTGTCACCGAACATCGAATCTTAGGTAATTCAAATTGGATTATAAAGATAACGTAAAAATGGTCAAATCAAGTTTAAAATCAAAACGACATTAGTAAATTTGAAACGATATTTGACATTTCAGTTTTTATTTTAAACTAATGATGAATTGTAGTAAGTTCCTGTAAATTGCCATTCGAATTTGCTACTAAAATTATTATAATTCTAATTATTACCAAAAAAACAGCAAAAAACAATTGATCAAACAATACATCACTAACAATTCCAATTGAAAAAAATAATTAAAAAAAAAATTATCCAGTTGAGTCAGATGAACAGAGATTCAATTAAAAAGGATACAATGTTTAATCAAAAAAGAAGAAAAAGACTACTTTTTTTTACCTTTGCCAGATTTTTTCCTGGGAGGAATGACGATTTCACCCTTGAGATCAGGAATCGTCATAATTTGGGAAAGGCCAGCGTATTTCTTCCGGAATTTCTCAACCTGATCGGCGTCGATTAGGTTTTGGGAGCGGCTGCCGAGGTAAAAGGGGTGGTTGCCGGACCACACATCCACCACATACTCCTTCTTCGTACCGCCGGTAGTCATCACAAGCTCGCCGTTGCAGTACACCTTAGCATCTTCGTGGAATTCGGGGTGTATGTCTCCTTTCCTGCAGCTCCACCGCATCTGATTGCTGCCCACCACTCCCTTCACCTGCGTCAATTTATATATATATATTACAATACCCAGCAAAAAATATAAATAAAAAATAATGAAATTAACAGCGGTGAGAGCAATTCTGTACCTTGGCGGCGAGTGAGAGTGAAGGAGTGGGGAGATTTTTGTGGAGGAATACGTTGGATAGAGTGAGCGCCATTGTTTTTTTCTCGATTTTACCTTCTTTCTTTCTTCTGTGGAAGATGAGAGAGAGATTGGGTTTTTCTCGGCTACAATTTGTGGATAGGCATTTTATTGGTGGCTATATATTACCAAACTATCCTTCACTATCTAGTATCTACTTTTCTTAATTTCTTTTTTATTTTATTTATTATTTTTTTTTAGTGCCTACTTCAATTTTATCATTAATATTTAATAATATTCCGTCCGTTTTGAAATAAGGTGCTGTTTGCAAAAGCTTTTAGAAACAACTTTTGTGTTTTTCATGGTTCATAATCTGTTGTTGTTAGGTGTTTGCAAAATTAGTTTTTGCTTTTGTTTCTCTAAAAATAAGCTGTTTTAAACTATTTTTTAGAAGCACCTATACACATACTTTTCTATTTAAGGTGATTTTCCAGCATATTTGCAAACACCCCAACTTTTAAAAATAAGCACTTAATACCAACTTAACTCACAATCACTAAAGTTAGTGATTGTGAGTTAAGTCAGTTTTAAGTACTTATTTCTAAAAGTTGGGGGTGTTTGCAAATATTCCGGAAAATGAACTTAAATAGAAAAAGTAGGGTTAAGAGTGTTTTTAAAAAAATAGCTTAAAGCAGATTATTTTAAGAGAAGCAAAAGCAAAAGTTAATTTTGCAAACACCTAAAAATAGATTATAAGTATAAAAAAGCTCATAATCACTTTTAAAAAGCGTTTGCAAACACCACCTAAGTATTGTTTATTCTCATTAATCACTTATTTTAATTGTGAAAGTATAGTTGAAATAATTTATAAGTGACGCTAGCAAAACTGAGAAATGAGTAATTCAATGGGGATAATTGGAATTAAAGATTAAGGTGGTGTTTGCAAATGATTATTTAAAAGCAGAAGTTAGTGATTGTGATTTAAGTTAGTTTTAAGTGATTATTTCTAAAAGTTGGGGGTGTTTGCAAATATTTCGGAAAATGAACTAAAATTGAAAAAGCAGGGTTAGGGGTGCTTTTAAAAAAATAGCTTAAAGCAGATTATTTTAAGAGAAGCAAAAGCAAAAGTTGATTTTGCAAACACCTAAAAACAGATTATGAGCAAAAAAAACCGCATAATCACTTTCAAAAAGCATTTGCAAACACCACCTAAATTGAAGATAAAAAATAAATCTTTCTAAGCATAATGAATTTGAAAAAGGAGGGAGTACTTAATTTGAACTGGTTAGTAGTACTTTTTAAGTCATACTCATTACATGTAGCATAGTCGGTTCTAAAGGTAAGCGACGGATGTTATCGCTTTTGGACAAACATTTTCAGTATTTGGCTAAAGAGGTTCTCACAGTAATAAGTAAATGAGCACGAAAAATAAAAAAAATAAAAACCCTAGGTAGATCATTTATAAGTAAGAATTTGTTACACAATTGTAAAGATTTCTAAGAGGTCTTTATAAACCTCTTGTATACTTCATTCTAAAATAGGAAATATTCGATATAACCACTTTCAGTCGTAGGATTAAATCAGTTAAACTATTAATTAGGAAAGTCGAATACTATTTATTGTAGTATAATTTAATTAGTAAACCATCCAAACAAATTTGTAGATATATTAAAACCCATAGGTCCGATATATCAAAATAGAAAGTCTGTACCGAGGGTCATCTTACTAAATATGTTTTGGCCTCCGAAATTTTAGATCTGAAGTTGAAATATAGTTAGCCTATTATAATTTTGAGAACACGATGGGTTTGGGTTGAATGGATCGAATTTAATTCATGATTAATTCTTCCATTTTATGTCTTATCTACATTTTTGTTAGATTCACCTTCAAGATGGGTAATTTCATTTTCTCAAGCAGATGACAACTTGTAATTAGATTTAATTAACAACTATAAGTTAAAAATAATAAAAAATTCAAGACAACGAGAAAATATAGTCCATGACGCCAGTTACAATTTTTTTTATAATTTTTTTTAATAATTATTTAAACCGGGAGGGGTGACTTTTTAGTAATTTCCAAACTTAGATCAAACAGTGTTAATGTCAACGGCGAGAGCCACATTGAGACAATTTTTCAAGTACAAGGGGGCGAATCGATGCAATTGAGAGTAGAAGGGGGTAAAGTGATATCGAGCCAAAGTACAAGGGGGCAAATCGATGCAATTGAGAGTAGAAATGGGTAAAGTGATATCGAGCCAAAGTATAACGGGCAAATCGATAAAATTGAGAGTAGAAAGGGGGTAAAGTGATATCGAGTCAAAGTATAAGGGGAAGTGGAATTTACCCTTTATTTTATTTTAATTTATTTGGGTAAATTACGAAAACCCCCCGAAACTTAGGCTAAATAACGAAAAACTCCCCCAACTATACGTAATAACCAAAATCCTCATCTGATTAACTGTTGATCGAGTTTTTTAACAGAAAATGTGTACAATCTATTATACCTTCTGCTAAATAGGTGAGAAATAAAAGAAAATATCTGAAATTGTGTAAAGTCTATTCCATGGAATAAATAAATAAAAAATCCGTTAAAAGTCACAATATAAGGAGTTGATGTAAGACAGAAACAAACCTCATGGGGGTTTTTGGTAATTACGAATAGATGGGAGTGTTTTTAGTTGTTTAGCCTAAGTTCAACGGAGTTTTCGTAATCTACCTTTTTTTTAAATTCCTTTTTCACTGGGCTACTACTCAACGGTAAATGACTTGACGATGTTGTGTCACCCGTGTTGGTAACTTGTCGAGTGAGGGTTCAATTCTTACTTCTCACGGATTAGATCAGCTGACAAACTCGTGTTTAAGTCAAATTCATTACATATAACATTAGTCGGTTTTGAAGACAAGCAATACATGCAACTGCTTAAGGCATTGGATCTATTCGAAACTAACAAGATTTATAATATATATTTATATACGGTTTCAATACTTAAAAACATCTTTTGACATTTCCGAAAATTCGTTATAATTCAATTTTGTTTTGGAAAACGAGAAGCAATCTTTACATTTTCTCTTCGTAAAATAATTTTTCACCTTTGTTATTCTAATACACATACAAAATAGGTTTTTGTTTGTTGTAAGTATAATTAATAACCTTATTTTAAAAAAAAAATTAGTTCAACGAAACCTTAAATCTGACGCTGAATAAGTTAGTCCAATATAATTTTGAGAACGAAATAGACTTGGATGAATAGACCGAATTTAATTAATGAATTGGGCTCATAAATAAGCATAAGGCCCAAGTAAAATTAGTTATCGGCCCATAAATATTAAAGATATTTTATTTAGTTTTTGTGTGAAATTTTGTCCTCTAAACTAAGTTTATGAATTCGAACACGTGACTTCATATTTAATCAAACTTCTTGTTACTAAATGTAGTAACAAAATCTTGTGAATAATAAACAATAATAAAAATAAAATATAAAATAGTGTGGCCGCTAGATCTTTCAGTACTGTTAATTCCCACGCAATCACCAACCCTCATTAGGAGAGTTGGTACCTAGCCTTTACCAATAGGGTAACGGTCTAGGGTTCGAGTCCCCCCCTCCCCTACTTCCCCTTGTAATGGACTTGAATTTACTCAAAAAAAATTCCCACGCAATCAATTCTTAGGAAAGTCTGCACCTACTGATCACATTCATCATATATATACTATATATATATATATATAGGTATATATATTAATTAATTAATAAAATAATAAATTGATGCATGAATTAGTCAATTTAATCACTTCAAAATAGGATCTTAGATTCACCAAAAAAACCTAGTCTTTACTTCACTTGTTAAACCGTCCCATTCTTCACGCCCTGCTTTCTCATTCTTTCCTTCTCTCTCTCCTCTCTCTCTCTCTAGAATTTTTCACATGCACTGAAAAAAAAAAAAAAAAAAAAGAAGCTGTGCTACAATTTCCAGTTCTTGGTTTCCTACAAGGGTTTTGGGTTTGCAAGATTTTGTGATCTTCGTTATTTTCAAGGGAGGAGAAGAGTAAATAAGAAAGAAAAAGCACTTTTTCTGATCTGGGCTTTTGCTTTTTTCGAAGTTGAGTTGGTAAAGGTGAGAGCTTTTTTTCTCCAAGATTCTACCTTTTTTTTTTCCTTTGAGTTCTTGAGAATCTGGTGATCTTTTAGCAGAAAGTGCTTTTGCTTTTTTTTTTTTTTTTGATTTTTTTTTGGTGAATCATTTCTTGTAGCGATCGATGGATTCGTGTTGTGCCGCCATTAAAGCTAAGGTGAGCCCTGTAGAAATCAATGGCGGTTCGATGAGGAGTGAGAAAGTACTTTTAGGAGAGAGAGTGAGAGGTAGCTTGAAAAGCAAAAATGCCTTTGGAGCAAGAACTTGCATAATTCTGAACAGAAAAAGAAGCAGAAATTGCTACCCTGGAGTTGCGTTCTCTGTTCTAACCCGCGATATAAACAAGGAAATGGCGGTAATTTTATTCACCCTCCCATAATTAATTCATGATTAATTTAATTTAATTTTTTATTTACATGTGCTGTAAATGTAGTATCATGTGTGAATTTTTTATTAGATTAATGATTTTTTTTTATAGGCATTTGAATCTTCGTCGTTTATCGACGAGAACCCGAAGGCAGATCCGGGAACGGTTGCTTCGATAATCTTGGGTGGCGGCGCCGGCACTCGTCTCTTTCCTCTTACAAACAGAAGAGCTAAACCAGCTGTAAGAGAAAGATTGTTTTTTTATAATTTATTATTTCTTGATTCTTGAGAAAAGAACAATGGCTTTATAGATATGTCACATTCATAAAACGTCGTATTCATGTGACGAACTGATCTTTTTGTATTTTGCTTAGGTCCCGATTGGAGGTTGTTACAGGCTCATCGATGTACCGATGAGCAATTGTATCAATAGTGGGATTAGAAAGATTTTCATTATGACTCAATTCAATTCTTTCTCTCTGAATCGACACCTTGCTCGGACGTATAATTTCGGAAATGGTGTCAATTTTGGTGATGGCTTTGTCGAGGTGCGATTTTTTTTTTATTGTAACTTGATATTAAGAAGTTCTTGTTTTTCGATTTCTTTTAAGAACCCACAATTTTTTTATTTATTATTACAATGGACATAGGTTTTAGCTGCCACGCAGACACCGGGCGAAGCAGGAAAGAAATGGTTTCAAGGAACTGCCGATGCTGTTCGACAATTTATATGGGTTTTCGAGGTTATTGTCCGGTTTTTTTTATTGATGTTTTTTTTAATTTTTGGAATATTACTAATTTTGGTGGATATATATATGTGTGTGTGTAGGCTGCCAAGACTAAAAATGTTGAGCACATTTTAATTTTGTCGGGTGACCATCTTTACCGAATGGATTACATGGACTTTGTTCAGGTACTCTTTCAACTCACCGACCGTGAATTTTTACATCTTGTGATTCATTATTATATGATCTTAATATAATACTTCGATCTAACTATATATATATATATATAATGTTCTTGCAGAAGCATATAGACACAAAGGCAGATATTACCGTTTCGTGTGTACCCATGGATAATAGGTATCTGTTTTAATCCGATTTTTTCATAGATACAGAGCGCTTACGTACGCATCAAGAACTCGATAAATGCTTTCACGATGAATTAGTGTATTTGTTTTCGATTCTTCTAGCCGAGCCTCGGATTACGGGTTGATGAAAATTGATGAAACGGGTCGAATCGTTCAATTTGCCGAGAAACCAAAGGGCTCTGCTCTACAATCAATGGTAAAATAATTCTCATTTTACGAGTTCTATTTTCTTGATTTTTTATGTTCTGCTATAATTATTAAAAAAAAATTGAATTAATTGTTTCGCTCGTTCTTTAATAATGCATTTTAGCAAGTGGACACTTCGATTTTGGGACTTACTCCTCAAGAAGCTGCGAGCTTTCCCTACATTGCATCGATGGGAGTTTACGTGTTTAGAACTGATGTTTTGCTAAAGCTTTTGCGATTTTCTTATCCTTCGTGCAACGACTTTGGCTCTGAAATTATTCCTTCTGCTGTGAAGGATCACAATGTTCAGGTGAGCCTCGATTAGTGATTTTTTTTTTAATTTTTTTTTTCCGGTTTGGTGCTTTATTCCGATTTTCTTGATTTGATTGTGTTATCAGGCATACTTATTTAGTGACTATTGGGAAGACATTGGAACAATAAAGTCGTTCTTCGATGCCAATTTGGCCCTCACCGAGCAGGTCTTTCTCTCTCCTCCACGCATTTTTCTGTTTAATTTGTAGAATGCGAGACAAAATATTATATTGGAACGTAAAGGTGAAATTAATTTGCTGTTTAATTTATAATTGCAAGCTAAATACGGATTATGTTACATTATTTCAGCCTTCGAAATTTGATTTTAACGATCCGAAGACACCTTTCTACACATCTCCAAGATTCTTGCCTCCTACAAAAGTCGAACAATGCAGGGTATGATATTAAATCTTTTATAATAATAATATATTGTTTTCTTTTTTTTTTATATATATATATATTTTTTTATCCTTTGTGTATCTATCTCATGAATGTAATTATTTCAGATAGTGGATGCAATAATTTCCCACGGTTGCTTCTTGCGGGAATGCAGCGTCGAGCACTCTATCGTAGGCGTAAGATCCCGTTTGGACTATGGCGTTGAGCTTAAGGTAAATTATATATTTTCATCTCTAAAACTAATTTATTATTATTATTTTTTTTTTGGCTCTTGCATTAAAAAATAATAAGAAAAAATGTTAATTTTTTCAGGATACTATGATGATGGGAGCCGACTACTATCAAACAGAATCCGAAATCGCGTCTCTGCTGGCACAAGGGAAGGTTCCTATTGGGGTTGGACATAACTCCAAAATCAGGTAAAATCGAAATCCAAATTGAAATATTTCGAATAAGTGTAAGATCACTCGTATGCATTATTCGTTTCTTGACATTTGTTTTTTTGCATTGAAGTAATTGCATAATCGACAAGAATGCGAAGATCGGAAAGAATGTGATCATCGCAAATAAAGACGTAAGCTTTTCCTTCTTATTCCCATCGATTAACGTACGAATCTATTTTTATTAACAGAAAATTAAATACATACATTGTTTACTAATAATTTTTTTTTATCGATTAATTGAATATTTCAGGGCGTGGAAGAAGCCGAGAGGGCCGATGAAGGATTCTACATACGATCGGGAATCACAGTTATACTGAAGAATTCGACCATTAAAGATGGAACGATCATTTAATAAGATCTGCATTTTCATGCTGAGATTGAACTCAAGAAAGTTAATTCTGTTTTTTTTTCTTTCTAATTCCTATAAATAAAATTAGAACCCTATTTTCATTTGTAAATATCTAGTTTTAACAAAACTAATCCATGAATAATTATTGGCCTTTTGGACTAGATTTTCTCTTCATATTGGTTGATTCCGTACGATATTTTTGTTCTATAGGATTAATTTGTCGTGACTAAGCCGAATGCAGATTTGTTCCGGACACCAATTTTATTTGAGCTTGAAACGAACTCTCTTTCAAACGAAACGACCCAAGGAACAAATCTCGCGAGCAAATATCATTAATTACGTCATATTTCGGCCATATGACTCGTCTAGACTTTTGAAAGTCCGTTTTCACTGTTTTAGAATAGATTTGTAAAATTCATATCAAAATCATAGAAAAATTCTATTAAGGATTCCATAAAATGAAATGTTAGATGTCGTTTCAATTTTACTAATGTCGTTTTGACTTCAACTTGATTTTGACATATTTCTATTGTTATTTTGGCAAAATTCGAAAAACGAAAACTGGAGTCCTTTGGGTTAGCTTTCTAATCCACTTAAATCTGTTAGATTGGATGCCGTGTGACAAAGTTATGCATGAATGAGTCACATTTTGAATTTTAGATACATCAATACATTAAAGTTGTGGGCAGTATCCATTGATTCATGTATATCTTTCTTGTCCGACATCCAATTTTGGTGATTCAAGTTGGATTAGAAAACTAACTCAAAATACTACAAATTCTATTTTTTGAGTTTTGCAAAATTTGAAATTAAAAATGATCAAAATCACGTTTGAAGTCGTAACGGTATTAGTAAAGCTCGAACGACATTTATCACATCCCTTCCATAAATTGGGTGTGTTCCGAAAATTACGAGATCTATTATAATTACGGTTTTAACTCATTTTTCCATTTTTTGCAAATTCTCTATTTTCCTAGATTAATTAAGTCTCTATTATTTTTGGAAAAGACTCTTTGCCCGATTAATTGTTTGTCAAAAATATTATGAGGTCATTAGCAATAAACCCCTCATATAGTTAAGAAATGGTGATATGTCCACCTCTGAAATCTTTTTTTGTGATAATCCCCTAGAATTTGTATTCTCAATTCTACCCTTATGTCAATTTGCATAATTTCTCACAATTATTCCTTTTTTCTCTTTCCATAACAATAATCTAATTCCTAAAATTATGCTTTTAAATTCCTAAAAATTGCTACTAAATAAAAAAAATGATTTTTTTTTATTATTTTCGGATTTTATTTAGCCATTTTTATTTATTTATTATTTTTTTGATATTTTTTAATAAAAATATTTTTGTTTTAATTTTTTTAAACAAAAAATTGAATTTTTTTTTTGGACAGTTTACAAGGTCGAATATGACTATATGTGACTAGATCAACTGTAGTCATATTCTTTCTTTATATTGCATTTTTTTTTACATTTTTAACTTCAAAATTCCGAGTGCATAGTGCGGTAGAGTCATGTTTACCAAATTCCGATTTTTAACATAACTAAGATTCCCTATTGTTTCGGGAAATGCAATCAACATCCACACACAAAATCACAAAAATCACAATTTGAATCTTGTTATTACAAGTCAACTTGAAACGAGAAGATAGAACATATTTGAATATGACTACAATCATATTCAACAATAGTCATATTCGAATATGACTACAGTCATATTTGAAAAAATACATAAATATGACTATAGTCATATTCGAATATGAGTATAGTCATGTTGTTGCTACTGTACAGATCTGAAAGTGTATTTTCAGATCTTGGAGAGAGAGAGAGATCGAAAGTACATAAATAAAGGTAGAAAATTAACGAAATAGAGGGAGGGGGAGTACGCTTCAATCCGTCTAACTAATAAACATAAATATGACTATAGAGTATAGTCATATTTGAATATGACTATAGTCATGCTGCTGCAACTGTACATATCTGAACTGTATTTTCAGATTTGCAGAAAAAAACAAGAGAGAGAGAGGAATCGAAAAATACATAAATAAAGATAGAAAATTAACGAAAGAGAGGGAGGGGGAGTCAACGGCGATGGCGGCAGTGGTGAACGAAAGATAGAGTGAGAGAGGCGGCCGTGGTGGGCAGATCTGGAAAAAAAAACTGAGAAATCGAGAAAGATAACGAAAGAGAGAGGAGTCTCATGTGAAAACGAAGGAGGCGGCGACGACACAAGCGACAACGATGGTGGTGGTATGCAAATCTATGTAAAGACGATGGTGGTATAAAGAGAGAAATCGAGGGAGGACGAACACGAGAGAAAGAGATTATTTATGTGGAGACGAAGGAGGAAGCGGCGGCGGCGACAAATGAGCGGCGGTGGCGGCGGAAGTGACGGCGGCGGATGAAGCTTGAAATTTTAGGAATGTTTTGAGGGATTTAGGTGAAGAGGTGGAGAAGAGAGAAAATGAAAGTGGTAGGTGGGCAAATAATTAGGGTATAGTAGTTGAGGGTATTTTTGTCTTCTCACACTAGTCTAGGGGGTCTCACTAATTAAGAATGAAATTTGAGTGTTGGTAAAAGTCTTTACAAATCAATTGGGTTTAGTTCAAAATATTTTCCATTTGAGAGGTGTATTGTATATTTCCCCTATTATATATATAAAATTGGAATAATGAATAAACAATTAGGTATTTAAAAAATAAAATAATCCATTAATAGCATAATTTCAGTTCTTCCAACTTGATCTCCCTGGTGATAAATGGAAAATATATATAGATCTCTCTCCCAAAGAAAAATAAATAAATTGAATTAAATAGATACAGAGCTGCATAGCGCGCAATGCAGCGCACATCGTCTATTCACCTCTCGTCGGAGTTAAACCTGTTCCATGCCGCCTGACGAGGATAGAGCAAGAGAACAATACGTAAGAATCAATTTTTGCCAACAAATCAAGAAACGCAAGAATCATCGAAGAATCACGAAAGCTAATTAAACCGAGAAAAATTACCTTGAGAAGATCGAAAACCTTTTCGCATATGTATTTCTGCTGAATCGTGGCTCCTCTTTGTTGCAATTTATCGGGATGTACGTAAAGAGTCGCCTTTCTGTAAGCTTTCTTCACAGCAGCAGTTGTAATGATCTCTGTCAGGGAAATCGGCTGCCAACTACTGTCTGGACCAAGAATCTGCATTTTCGAAAAACGATTTAGGACAAATTATTTGGTTGCCAAATAATGATTTAGTATAGGTCTTATTTCGTATTAAAAATGTATTCGACGAAATACGTACGTATTGCAAAGTTGAGAGAAGTGCCCGTAAGTTTCCCTCCTTTCCTGCAGCCCATCTCTTAATATCAGCATTAAGAGATTCAGATAGTCTCTGCAATAAAAAAAAAAAAAAGACTTGATATTTAACAAGACAAACAAATTGGGATTATTTTTGGAAATTATTGTAAAAAAATCTCGTAAGAGGTATAGTATACATCTCTCTCGGCCTGCTCTTTCTGGACAAGACGATCGCGCATATTCTTCTCTTCGAGTGCTTTCGCCTAAAAAGAAAAAAAGTTACGAAAAGTTTTATAGTTCTAGCTATATAAGTACAAAGATACAGCAGAGAAACGCATACGGCTCGCTCCATTATTCGCTGATGCCTCTCTAATCTTGCTTTACGTCTCTGTGCTGACTCGGTATTTGATCCATTCTCTAGATCCTACAAGAAAATTTTCCACCGTCATTTTCTAGCACGCAAAAGCAAAAATTACGATTCTTGCTATCCAGGCAATAAAACAAAAAATCGATACTTACCGAGGAAGAAAAGCTGTGCTTCAGGCCCGAAGAGCTCGGCGTTCTTGCCTCTGTGTAACTTTTATGAGACATGGCTTTCTCCAAAGCTCGTTCGCGTGCCTCTGCTGTGGCTCTTTCCACTGCAGCTCTTTCTGCCCTACGCTTGGCTTCGGTGGAGGCCTTATCCTTATCGGACGTTTGTTTCGCAGAGGATTTCTCGAGTTTTTCACGAGCTTCTGATAGAACTCTCTGTCGAACTTCGGCAGCTGCTTTCTCCACAGCGGCTCTCTCCGCCCTTTCTCGAGCTTCCACAAAAGCTCTCTCACGAGCTTCGCGTATTGCTCTTTCAACAACTATTCTGTCCTTTTCGCGCTCCCTTCCCTTCTTGATGGCTTCTATTCTTTGCTGGTGTTCGTTTTTCTCATCGTTCTGCAAACTTTCTTTCGCAGCAAGATTCTCCTTATTCTTATCCATGTTTAGACCAATGGGTTTCTCAACTTCATTGGGTTCGGTGCGTACGCGAGAGTATGACACTTCAGTTTTTTCCTCGTCGGAGCTTCTTTCATTAGAAACCGTTTGAACTCCATCTTCTAGTTCTTCCTTGTTCGAGGTCTCGTCGTCTGCATTTTCTGCACATTCTTCAGATTCATGAGAAGACGATCCATCTACACTTTCAAGACCGGAAACTGGTACAGATTCTTCACTAGTCTCTGAAGTTTGTTCCGACACTTTCGTAACATCTTCGAGATCGAATTCCGATTTTCCAGTATCAGATGTATTGACCTCCGCTAAGTTCTGTCTATTGATTTTAGCATCACATTCTCGAGCAGCATCGTGAATCTCACTTCTTGTTTCGACTGCATTATCACCTTCCGGCAGTTTCTTTTCGGCAGAAAGGCCCGCAAAGGCGTTGTGCGCACTTTCAACAAATATCTCTCCAGAGGCGCTTCTATTCAATGTATCCTTTCCAGATATCTCGTTATCCTCCATGTGGGACGACGATTGTTCCGACTCGTTGTCCTTCTCTTCACAATTTTCAACAGCTTTCTCATATTGTTCTGCTTTGTCGTTCAAGCCAAAATCGCAGGCTTCATCAGTAGTATGAGCATCGTCACTAGTATTCACATCAACAACTTCATCAATATCCACCTTATAAGCATTCTCCTGAAACTGAGATCTAAGATTATTCATTAGTTCCTCAGAATCGAAACAAGTACTTTTCTCGATTATAGCACAATTGTTTGCCTCGTTCACTATTGTCTCAGCTGCTTCATATTCAGAAGTATTCGTATCTCCCGTTTCAACTTTAGTCAGTTCATCTCCATCACGAACATGATTCTGTTCCTTGTCATCAAATTCTTGCTCATAAGCCTCGTTTCCAACTCCTGCAAAGTCGTGTGACTTCGTCTCATAATTTTTTTCATCCAACGCTGCCTCGTTTACCCATGCACGAGCCGTTTCCTGCATTGTCCCTTTTTCTTCTTCATCATAAATTATCCCATCTTCTTTCGACTTAAAGACACTTTCTTCGAACTTCTTCTCAGTATCGTCTTGCTCCAGATTCACGAACCGATTCCGTGATTCATCCATAAAATTATCAAACTCCGCCCTCAGCACGGTCAAGTCTTCCACATTGTCTTCAAATTTCTTCTCACACTTCGCCTTATCATCCATATCATTATCGACTCTCTGCTCGCTCGCTTCATCCTCCAGGCATATCCTCGACTTTTCACCAGCTTCATCCACATCCTTCTTCTGCTCTCGAGTTCTACGAGAAGCATCTAGAACCGTTTCTACCCTATTTTCAGATCCTTCTGCACGATCAAATGTACCGTCCGACCGTTCAGCCTCCTCCCTTTGGGGAGCCCCAAAGGGAGCAATCAGAGTCTTTTCCACCTGTTCGGCGGCAGCTTCTGATCGTTTCATATTATCCACAGTTATTTCTACATCTTCCAATGTTTCGCTGCTCCTGCTATCGCCTACATCTCTATGCATTTCAGCTGCATAAACATTTTCCGCCGAAACCTTTTCATCAAGATAAAGCGTCTTACCCCGACTGCAATCTGACGCAAAAAGCTTACCCCCCCTTGCATGTGTCTCCCCGTTTTCTTTAGCTGTTTCGACATTCTCCCATACCCTCTCCATATCAACGTTCGCAGCATTTACAATTTTTTCTTTGTAATGATTAGATTTCCCGTCGTTCCCAGTGAATACGGGATTAAATTCTTCGTGTTTTTCCTTCTTAATAACTTTCACGTTGCTCTTTGGTCTTTGCTTAAGACCATCTCGAAAACCTTCCCTTTTCTTTTCCATTATCATTTTCGCGACTCTTATACTTTCCTGAGCCTGGTCTATGGCTTTCTTCAAGGCAGCGGCAGACACGGCGGCAACTGAATTCTCGTCAAATTCCTCGCCAAAGAAAGGCGGAGAAGATTCACCGGCGACTTTTTCGGAAGCGTCTTCTTCGGAAGAAAAAATCGACGCGTTCGATTTCCTGGGATTTTTGCTGTCACATACTTGTGATTTGAAGTTAACTTCATTCGCATTGTGTGACTTTGACTTATCAGGTGTACGTGATTTCTCGGGACTTGATCCGCCTTTACCTTTAACAGCTTCAACTTCAGCGGCGAAACTCCATGTTCGACTAACTTCGCGTTTTAGTGGAGGGGCAAGCCTGTCATTTTCCGTCTTCGGCATCTGAGGAGTTCCGCCATTAACGAAGTAAGTAAATCCTGGAACTGCACGGAGCTCTGCGATGTGCGTTTTCCCGTTCGGTGCATCGATGTTTCTTTGGCTAGTTCTGTTGAAGGACATGTTGAACTGCTGCTTACCGCCATCGACAGATTGATCAGATGCCGCCTCAGCGGAGGGCGTTTTCGTCTTTCCTGAAGAGTGTCGAGAACTTGATTCTTGCAAAGGTGGCAGCGTATCTGCTGGAATCCTGTAACGGATATATAAAGAATTTATTGACAACTCCCAACTATCTATATTCAAACACCGAAAAGTAATATACATTAAATTAAATGACTAGATAATGTTTGTTTCGAGATATACACGTGGTATTAATACGAGGGCGATACAAATAATCAAAAAAGAATTATCAATCTTTAGAAACCTCTAATGAATGAAGGCGCCAATCATAAGTTTTAATGGATAAAGAAAATGCATATGACATATACAAGCGAAACACAAGCTAGAAAATCAAATGCGAATAATACTATCAGAGCAAATTACGTACAACTATTATAATTTGATTGTTAAATGAGTTTAATTACAAGAACGGATTTAAAAAATCGTGTCTTAAAACAACTGCAAGAATTCAAATATTAGAACACGTGGCAAATCGCGCTTAACGAATTCTTGCATTTCCGATAAGAGGCATCATTGAACTAAAACACATTCCGGTTCTAGGTCACATTCTTTAAATTAAGCACGTCTAAAACTCAAAATTGAACCGACGAAGTCTAAACATTGTCGTTTATTATATGGCCGCCAAAAGAAGTAACAGCCGCGAACTACTGAAAAAGCAGAATATTTCAAAAACTATTGACTACATCATCTGAACCTAACCAATAAGGGAGCTTTCATAAAAATTTAAATAATACCGATTCGCGCGATTATTGAACGACCTCGTCTAACAATGAACAACTAAGTATAGCCAAAAAAAAACAATCAAGATTAAATTTTTATAGTCAACTCCTAAATCCATTTATAATCAATTTCATTACTGGTAAAGCCAAAAAAAAATAAAAAATAGTCTGATTTTTTCCACAGATGAAATGCAATAGACCAAACAATTATTATAAATTCTTCACAAAAATTTCAAAGAAGGTTGAAAATTGAAATAATGACAAGATAAATTTAAAGAAGCTTATTAATTAATTAAAACAATTCAGGAAATAATATGCAAAACGGCT